ATCCCTTCCCTCCAGCATATCAACCGAGCATTTAATGTTAATAAATGCCTACAAATACTTAAACCCCTTTCTTTATCTAATTCCAAGGATTTGTCTAATTGTGGCCTGCCCCCTTCCCACAAGCACACGTTCTCACTGTTAACATACGCACATGCCCCTCTCTCAGGAGGAATGCATCTCAAGTATGAGCCCCTCTTCTGGCCATGTGGGTTCTCTTGTTTACACACAACTGTGCGAGATGTGGTTGCTCTGATTTTTCTGTGTCTATGTGCAACCTATTAGTCCACACAGCAGTGAGAAGGCTCACTGTAAGTTCGCATACATGCACCCAAGATATGGGTAGTTGCTTTTTGCCCCCTTATTGTTACTGTACTAGCTGGAGTGGAAGCAGCTCACAGTGTCTTCTGGGGGGGTTGTTCTGCCTGACCTAGGCAGAGGTTATGGCATTGTCAGGACAACATTCTGGGCATGTCAGACCACATTGTGACTTCTGTTCCTTCTGTTTCCCTTTACTCTCTTTACTGTTGCAAATTTTATGCTTCTGTTCTACATTTTCCTAAGCTGACTTGTTTGAATTCAGTTGGTAATCCTCTCACTATAATGTTGGCAGCTTGCCCCTCAGCTTTTTGTCTATAGAAGGCTTCTTTGCTATGGTGTGGTCCCTGTAGAAAATTGATTATCTTTCTCCCTTTCTGAGGTATAAGAAAGAATGTAGTAATGAAAGGCCACTTCATCTTTTGCTTTTCTCAATCTATAGTCAGGCAATGCCACCTACTGACAAGAGAACAATTGACATGAAAACATAGCATAAGACTAGGATAAATCTGTATTACTACGGGGATCTGAGGGTATTTATTTTATATGAATCATCATAGTTTGTGTGTCATCGAATTTCTTTGTATTTCTTTTGGAAAAGGAGAGTGAAAAAGGTTGTGGATTGTTTTAGCGTATGCATTGTCTGTGCATATATACATGAAGCTGGTTATTTAAATGAATTTATTTAAAGCAACTGTAAAGGTAATTATTAATATTTTTAGGTAATGTTATCAATTTAGATTGACAACTGTAATGGAAAAAGTAGAACAAAATGCAATGAAAGCCTTAAATTTTTCTATTAATTATATTTTTCATGGAATTCATGTGTGGTACAGGCACTGTACTCTTAAGAAGCTATCACTTAGTTTCCCCACATTTGTTTTCACTTGAAAGAAACAAGAAAAAGATATGCCTCAAATCACTTTGCCACAGGTTTCCATAAATGAGTGTGTGTGGCTGGGACACTGAATGCTTTTTGTAATTGAACCTGTTTGGGAGCAGTAGGTGGAGTACAGCAAACTGGGCCTAGGCACATGAAAAATATCTCATGTTTGGAACTGAAAATTACTCAGTCGTAATTGTAGGTGTTTGAGTTCTACTGCAGCTCCCTAGCAGCGACAAAATAGTGACAGAAGATTAGTTTGTAATATATGCACGAAAGACATTCTGCTTGTCTCTCCTATTCACTGCTGCTTGAAGTTGTCCTTATATCTGTTGTGTTCTCTCTGTGTCAAAATCATGAAATAAAACTTCTCACATTTGAACTTTTATGGGACAGGTGAATGGTGATGGATATACATCTCATTCATCCCAACTGCTTGCAAGACTGTGAAGGAGTGGCTTTGTACACTACAGCAGATTTCTCTAAGATAGTGTCTTATTTTTGGAGAGAAAAGCCCAAGCAGTCAGTGCTGTAGTTGCACATGTATAAGAAGCTCCTTTTTGAAATATGAAATGAAAACCCATGTTTATGTTCTGAAGTACAGACATAGTGGACAGTGAAGCATAAACACATTCAGGCAAAAAATATTGATTTAAGAAAGGAAGAAACTGAGAATTTTGTTGGGTTTTTTTTTCTCAGGCAGTGTAGTTTGATTTCAGTAGGTCAATATGTTTTGTTTTCAAATGCATCTCAGAAAGTAACTAAAGGAATCACTGATTTAAAGTGGAAAATGTAACTTACACAATAGAAGTAGTATACATTTTCATGAAACTTTTTCGTTTGTTGTGTTGTTTACAATCTAGATTCTTGACAGATATTGTAATATGACTACAGCATTGAGGCAGTACAGAACATAAGACCAATACCAAAAGTCCTTCGCAACCTGGCCTATGAAGCTTGGGTGTGAGAAATGGTATCTCTTCAGAGCAGACGCCTGATTTCCAATTTAAACACCAATACTGCTATCTTTTATGTCTTTTCAATTTAATAAGCAAAGCAAAATCCTGCTGTTCTGCATGTAATAAATTAACTTTTTTTCCTTCTTCTCTTCCCCTGCAGTGTCTTTAAAAAAAAAAAAACAAACCCACAAAAAAACTGTTTTGGGAAATGTGCTGTGATTTAAAAAGGAGGTTTTTGCTCCTCTATGCAACACAAAAAGGGCAGGCAAAAGCCATAGCTGAGGAAATATGGCAGCAGGCAGGTGCCCATGGATTTGAAGCTGATATGCACTGTATGAGTGAAATGGACAAGGTGAGATACTCCCTGCTGTTTTGAAAAAGAGGTATATAAGAGCTGCATTTTTCTTTATCTGCTTGATTGGTGGCTATGGATAATCACAAAGGCTGAGCACATGCACCCATGTAAAATATACCACCTAGTTTTAAATTTTTGTTTCTTGTGAATCACTAATTTGGACCAATACTCACAGACTTTTAATATCCTTTTGCAGAAGGTACATCTTTATTATGCTTTCTCGTATTAGAGCAGTGAATGAATATATCTTTGATCTTTCTTCTAACGACAGCACAGTGAGTTCTTGAAAACTATTTATATATGCAAACGAATTCTGTATTTATTGGTCAGCTCTCCTGTTCTTAGAAATGACATTTCCCCTCCCCAGCATTGTTTTTGTGTTGCATTGAGGCACTGTGTTGTGTTAACTGAGCTCCAGCATGACCCTGAGCTTTTTTTGAGGTCTTCTTGACTACTTGGCTTAGCATATGCACTCACTCCAGCTCACACTGGATACATTCAGGTTATATTCTAGAAAAGAATGAAAAGCTTGGCTGCTGCAAGGGAGTGACTTTTTATTATTTGCTGCTTCCCAGGGGTAAGGATCTGAAAACTGTTAGCATCTGTCTGTAACTAAAAGCAATATGGACTGTAATTTCCTTCACGAAGTACTTTCAACTATATGTCCTCAAACAAAAACATTTAAAAGAAAAAGCCCAAAACAACCAAACAAAACTCGATAGCCTGGTATTTCATATGAGCAGAAAGTAACACCATTTTTTTTTCATGCACTTGAAAATGTGAGAAGTTTATAAAACTAAGTTTCCTTTTAGAAAGTTGCTTTCTTGGGGATGCACTATGTGTTGGGTAGACGGACATATGCTTTTGAATGAATGTTCATTGAGTATGTAGCGAAGTGTTACGAAGAGACTTACGCAGCCAGCAGGGATGGTGAAGCTTCTCCTTACATTCTTTCATTTAATTTCTTCTGCATTTGACTTCTGCTTGAAATGAAACATAGTATCTCTTGCAGTCTTTATATTTTCTCATAACAGGACTATTTTATTAAATTTGGAATGCTGGGAGAGAGTTTAAACTGAAACCTACAGGGAGCAGTAAAAAGAGCTTAGGTTACTTATTGTGGGGAAAAAAAAAAAGGAGGCTAACTTAATAGCAGCCTACCTGAGCCAGACTCTTCTTGGCAGCAGCAGACTGTACAATGGGAGGCAAAATCCTGTGAGTGCAGCCTGATAAACTCAGATTTCACACTAGTGGAGAAGTTCTGGATGGAAAAGGCTGCCAGAAAAGTGAAATCTCTACCCTCACAAGTTTTCAGAATTCAGTCAGTCACAGCTGACATAATGCAGTGTTGGCAGTTAGTCCCACTTGGAGCACAGGGTGGGACTAGGTGACATCCAGAGGTCACTCCCAAACAAGGTGTCTGTAATTCCGTGGAGCTATGTTTCACATAGTTCACTAGCTATTGATTCAAACCCCATAGCCTGCAGGGGTGCTGTGAAAGAACATGTTGTATGGGTGACCTGATGGACAGCATGCTAGCACAGTGCTCAGTGCTGCAGCCTGCTATCCGTGGAAAGATGGAATCATCAAAGAAACAGAATGCTTTTTGGTTGGTTACATGAGGCCTGAATTTATGGAACTGATGCACGATCCCAAATATAGGCAGCTCTTCTTCAGTTCTTCTGATATAATGGGAGAAGCTCCCATAAAACTGTGGGAAATGTGAAAGACTGGTATTAATAAAGAGGAGAGAAAAGAATTCGGGTTGGAAGAGTGGGGCCAAAATGAGTCAGACTGTAGAACACAGTGACTGATTATCACTGTTTAGAGCTACTTTAGTTCACCCAAAGCATAGTTTATGTGGGTTTGTTTGGTCTGGTTTGGTTTGGTTTTCTAGTGGCCAAGACAGATTTAATATGGAATTTTATCAGAGAGAACCAAACGATCCCTAATGGAATTTGTAAATGATCTCCTCAGTTTGTATGTCCACACCCCAGTTATCTGTGTGAATTTGTTGGGATTATGGCTCACTGTGTGATTGTGGCTGTATGTAGAAACATACTTTTTCTACTTGACAAAGCAAATACTCTAGGAATTATGTATGTAAGTTGCCTGAGTGCAATTGTGAAATACTCTTTGCATGTGGACTAGCCTGCTCAAAATGCTGCCCTTTGGTGTTTGTGTATGGGATCATAGGTTAACTCAGGTTGGAAGGGACTTCATGAAGTTATCTTGCAGCGGGATCAGCTAAGGTTAGAGCAAATTCCTCAGAGTTTTACCCAGTATTGTCTTGAAAACTCCACGAGATTATAAACTGTATCCCCAAAATTGCATTAAAGACTTTCTGTGGTTTAATACAGTTGAGATTAAACATTTTTCTATGTACCTTTGGGGAAAGAAAGGGTGAAAGATAATATCGAAGGCTACAAATAGGTATCAAATGGCACCTTGTAACTTACTTATTCTGTTACTTGTAGTATAACCTGGAAACAGAAAAGGATCCTGTAGTTATTGTTATTTCCACTACTGGTACTGGAGACCCACCAGACACTGCCCGCAAGTTTGTAAAGAAAATTCAAGACAGAACCTTGCCACCTGATCATTTTGCACATCTCCAGTATGGACTGCTAGGTGATTTAGTATTTTCTATATTATTGCAGCACTTGTCTGTGAGTGAATAATTTTTATATTTTTTTACTTGTGAATAGTTTGTTCGGGTTTTTTTAAGCGCTGATAAACCATTTATTTTTATAACATGAACAGATTTTTTGTGTGTAATGTCCTCTATGAGCAATAAAGGAAAAGCATCACAGATATTATCTGAATGTAAGCTACCAATTTAATTTTTTTATAGTTAATTTTCTCTGCATAATCCATATGACTCAAGCTGTCTAGAATTGTTTAATTTCATGTCAAGTCTCTATGGACTAGATGAGTTTACTTGACTTTGCAAATAATAGGGCATTTTTCTATACACAGGGAAAGGAAGTATAAAATGTCCTTAAAAATAAGGTTTTAAAATCATCCCATCCCTTTAAATTTGCAATATTTTTAAAAAAATTTGAATGTCGTATTTGTCAGTAGGAGGAATGTAACTTCAGGTTAGACTAATATGCAAAATACAGATTTGACAAAATACATAGGATGTATTTTGAGTTAATGGTAAGGTCAGTTTGTTGTTTTCAGGTTGTGTTTAAACAACCTTCTATTTGAACCTAAGTTATTTTTGCTTGACAAGTTTAACTTGATAGGTAGGAGCAAGAAAACTTCTAGATTTCTAGTCAGGAAAGTACCCGCTAGAAGGAAATTTCTCGTGGATATGTAATGTGGAAGTCTGAAATGTATGCATTCTACTTGTGTAACATTTTGAGAAGTTGTTATGCTACTGCCTAGTAACACATTACAGTTTGTGAAATGGTTATATATCCATGCATATAGGAAGATAAGCATTGTATTAATGCTGATTTTTGTTGTAACAGGTATTGTAGTATCTAAGTTATAACATGTTTTGTGATTATAGTCTAAAAAGTTATCAGTCTTAAAATACATTCATGGTATCCATTTCAGCTTGTCCCATGGAGTGTTTGCTCTAAGTACTGTACTTGATAAGGAACAGAAGTCTTTTTTAATTAAAAAAATAAAAAAGGCTGTTATAAAAAAGAAAGGAATCATCCATTGTTGGCTGGGAATAGTAAGGATCTAGTGGTTTGAAACTCCACACAAGAAGGAGTCAGGCTGTGAAAAATTGTGATAGGATAGTGAAAGAGTGCTGTGGATTACTTACAGAATTTGTGAGGACTATATCTAACCAGTGGTCTTTGGGAATGTTATATAAGAATCTGTTAAGAATGAGGTATGTGTGGTTGATCACTTTTAGGGTGAGTTGGTGGTTTAGTTGGTATCTTGAAATCACAGGTCCTCCATGAACATACCTTCTCATGCACAGGCTGTTTAACTGATAATAAAGAGCATCTTCTAACAGAACATCTTCATGATTGTTGAAGTGCAGAAAAGCCAGTGCAGTGATAATGAGATCTACAAGGGAATCTCTGATTTGTGTGGAGGAGGATGTAGGACCAGATTCCCTTTTCCTACATTTCTTACTTCATATTGTTTAAAATCACTCCTGTTTTTGAAATTTTTTTTTCAAATTCCAGTATTTTTTAATTTCTTTAAATACTCTCTCTCTTATGTTACTGATGTATATTAAGAATTTTAACCTGAAGGTGAGATAATTTTGTTTGGTAATTCACATATAGTTTATCAGTTTCACTCTTTTTAATTAATTCAGCTTCTTACATTTTTCCTGTAAGAGAGTTTTGTATTTTTTGAAAGCCTCAGACTAAAGCAACATTCTTCTGAAATGCAAGATATTGAAAACTAAGTGTTTTCAGAGAAATTCTGTTTCTTACATTTGTGAAAGAAGGAACCACTTTTTCAGCTTTACTTTAGGACAAGCACAATTTTTTTTTTTTGGAGGTCATAAAAGTGTCCTGGTAATAGCCACTTTGCTATATCAGATTCTTTTGTCTGTCTGCAAGAAAACCCTGTGTTATCTTTGCAGATCTTTTGTCTGTGTAGCCTTGGTGGCTGTCTGATTGACGTGATTCCTCCTTGAATTTTCTAGGTCTGGGAGATTCAGAGTATATATTCTTCTGTAATGGTGGAAAGACAGTAGACCGAGGACTTCAAGAACTTGGAGCCCGGCACTTCTATGACACAGGATTAGCAGATGATTGTGTAGGGTAAGAACTGAATGAGTCTGGATTTTATTTCATCAAGATGCAACAATTACATGTGAATTTGGCTAAACGTTCTGAACTCTTTGAAATCAATTGAACCTGAATACTCAGCACCTCATAGGAACAAGTCCTGTCTGAACACAGTATGCCTTTTCAACCTCAATTGCCATTAAATAAAACTCCATTTTTAAAGTGTGAGTGAACAGATGTACTCCCTGGAAAAATAGAGAGTATTTAGCAGTTCTAGAAATTAAGTAATTCAGAATAAGTGGGGGCATTTAAAAGTGTAGTCTGTTTAGTGAAGCAAATAAAAATAAATGCAGTTCCCAGTATGCGCGGTACTGGGTAATGGGATGTCTTTCTGCGTACACATCAGACATTAATCCAAGTTCACATCTTGCAGTAGAACTGCTTTAGGCAAACCCTAGAGTGTTTTTTTAATTTCTCTCTGTCTTCCGTAAAACATTTTTCCCCCCTTTTTTTGGGGGGTGGGGATTGTTTGTTTGGTTTTTGATCACTGCAGAGGAATTATGAAAGAAGGGGGTAGGAGGTTTACTGCTGTAGAGAAATCATGTGAGAAAAGAACTCCCTTCTAGTTCTGTTACTCTTTCTGGCCAGTAGGCTGCAGTCTTGGTTTATTTATTTTGAACTGCAGATTATATCGGCTCTGTGCATGATGTTAGCAAAACAGTTGAACACAAACATTGCCATAACCATAAAACTTATATGTTGCGTTCTAAAATAATAGAAATAGACCATTAGTGTAAGCTTTTGATGTTACTACTGTACAATTAAAAGTTGCATGTTTTGCTACCATCCTTTTAACTTCTTGTCATAAAGTTCTGCATAATGAAAAGGAAAAACTAGAAGAAGAGCGAGGCTGTTAAACACTTTAGACTCCATAAATTTAGACAGTAGTAATAACTAAATACAAATATCTTTTTAACAAAAAAGTCATCTTGGTAACTGCTACAGATACATATTAAAATCTGAAAATTAATAGTGTTTTTAGGTTTTGTGTTATTTTCCTTATTTGTAAATTAACATTCCAGTAAGTCACAATAATTCATCCATTCCTTTCTTCCTTTTTTTCCCCACCCCCCTTCCCAGTTTGGAATTAGTGGTTGATCCTTGGATTGATGGACTTTGGTGTGCTCTCAAGGAAGTATTTCTGTTGCAGAAAGAAAAAGAAGGCATGAACAGTGTTGTCGATGCTGTTTCAAGCTCTCTCTCTGCAGCCCCACGTGTGCAGGAGCTAAACTTAACCTCCAAAGTACAGAACTTGAAGCTAGAAGATGAGGGAGTGAGGAGTTCTGATGTTCTGTCACAGAAACTGGTTGACATCAGTCTTGTGGATTCAAGTAGAGACACTGAACCTTCACTTGTTCGTTCTGTCCCTCCTGTCTCTCAGTCTGCTCTTAATATTCCTGCCTTGCCACCAGAATATATAGAGGTGCAGTTTCAGGACACCCATGGTGAGGTAAGGACTTGGCTTTGAATGAGGGAAGCCTCCAGCTCTGGTAAGAGCATGCATGTATATACTCCTGCATATGTCTCAAAAGAACAAGCAGATACCTGTATAAGCGAGATGCATCCCTGAATGCAGGAGGTTTTTAAATTGTAAGTGATGAGGTTCTAATATTGATGCCTTAACTTTTTTGTAAACAGAAAAAAAATAAATTTCACTTTCAAACAGCAGATTGAAAAAACTGAATCTGCTAATCTGTAATTCAGTGGACAGACTAAAGATTATAGTCCAAATTTCAGGTATAATACTGGATGGTTGTCTTCAGCCTTGGGAAGAATCAAATGGATGTTGGTTTGTTTTCCTTTGTTTTTGACATAAAAGCTGTTTTTTGACAAAAAACTGTTTTTGAAATAGTTGGCTAGACCTTGTTAAACAAGTAGGTGCCGTGTAGGATCAAGTAGGATATCACAAGTACAACACAATCCTTTTCCAGTATTTCACGTTGCAAAAACTGTGAGTATTTTGATAATCTTGATCTCATTGTGCCTTGAACTTGACTTGGAGGGAATATGGATGTGGACAGTTATCACAGTCCAGCTGATGCACAATAACTTGATATGGCCTAAGCCTGCTATTGACCATGTCAGATTTTTAAAGAATAATGAAACTTCCAACTGTTGGTCTCATTCTCCTGCCTTCTTTTTTTGTAACTAGGAAATCTTCAGATTAACAAATAATCTCTTGTTGGTAGAATAATTCCTTTCCATATGAGGATATTGTTATAGACATTTGGTATCTCTTCTACCTCTTCATTTTTGCCTGTAACTGATCTCAGATGAAGTTTGCTGACAAGAGTGATGGAGGAATGAGGGCTGTAGTCTAATCTTCAAGTGGTCTCGAATTTGATCATTTGACAGAGGTGGTCTGGAATTATTCTTGATGCCCATTTACAATTATTTGGGCACATTTTTACCTCTGTAGAAATGTGGCATAACATGATGCTGTTTCATAGTGTGGAGTTTGCTGATTACCTGTAATTTAACTGTAATTTTTAGAACTCCTTCTATAAATTGCCTGTAATAATAGCCTCAAATGCACCCTGAAGTCTTAATCTGTACACCTGCAATGATATTTTTAAGTAACTTCTGTTCTTACTCTTATGTCTGTTCTGCACACCTACTAATCCTTTAATTAGGTGGGAGTTCTCTGTGTTTTAACATAAATGCCATTCTCTAATTTGGCTATTTTCAAGGCAACTCTTGAAAAAGGAACTGCGAGCTGCATTTGATAGTAGTTTAGGCCCATTAGGCTTTTCAAGCCTACTGACTTTTTATAGTTGAATATATGCCTGTTACTGGGTATGATTTTCAGAAAGGGAGAGCAAAACACTTGACGTATGTAGAATATTCGTATTTTTCCTCATTGTTCTGAATTGTTTTTTAAGATTGTGTCCAAAAAAAAAAAAGTGGCAATAGTAATTCCTATATGTTATAAAATGTCATTCAGTTTTTGCATTTTTAGTGTAAATTTTCCTGTCCTTTTTTTTCAGAATCCACATTTGTCCTCACTGATTTCAGAGGGAACAACCTTTGAAGTGCCAGTTACAAAAGCAGTTCAACTCACTAGAGAAGATGCAATAAAAACAGCCTTACTCTTAGAACTTGATATTGCAGTAAGTTTGTGATGGCTTTTTCTTAAGTGGGTTAACATAAAGGGTGAAAAACGTGTGTTATGTATAATAGCTGGGGGAAAAATATTTACTTGAATGTTGAAAAGTTAAAAAACCTAATTCCTTATACAACAGGATGTCAGCTTAAGCTGATCCATTTTGTAAATGCAAAGCTTGATTTATTCATTGAAATGTATGACTGTGGAAGTCAAAACAGAAATAAAATGTCAAGTTAATTTCTTTGTTCTTCCATGGATATTGTGTTGACTACTGTACCTTTTTGAAGGGAATTTGCAGGGAAGAAGAGCAGGCAGGGAATACTGAAAATTAATAATCTTTCATAAATACACAATTCAGGGAATATTCAGGAACTGAATAATTGTGACTCTTCCTTGTGGTAGGTAATAATTTGACTAATACGATCAAGGGATAAGAATTGTTAGCTCTTGAGCACTTGTTTCTGCCTCTGGCACTCATTTGCTCTGACTTGTTAATATACTACTCAAACTGTCAACCTCTGTTATTTCAGGTGTAAAAACTAGTTTAGATTAGTCAGGGATGCAAATGTTTTGTATACTGGTTTGAAGATGGAAGACAAAGAGTGCTTAAATTACTTTACAAGAAATCTTTAAGAGGAAAATATGTTGCCTTTGAGCGATTTTTTCCAAATTTGAAGAATGTTGCCTTTGGGATTTTGTGATTTTAGCAGTAACTTTTATTGGACTCAGCCTCATTTGTGTCAGTATCCATAGGTCATCTTTAAATCTCATTAATAAATAGAGTCTTATTAAGTTTTGAGCAACTGAGTCTCTGAGATTACATGGGGTTTTGCATTTATTTGTGTGTTTAGATGTATCCTGTCATCATCACCCACTGAAAATTTGGATATTTTGGGCCTTTTTTTTTCTTAGCGTTCTCAACAGTCTGTATGCAGATCACCTCATCTGGTGCATAAGGGAAACACAATGATGCAACTGCAATTTTATATGCCCCTTAAGAGGCAGAAGTTTGAGTAGGCTTTCAGCAATTGCACACAAGAACCTCAGAAAACTAAGTAGAATCTATGTGTTAAGATCTGAGATACCTTTTCGTTTTCACTGTGCTCTTCTCTTGGTACTTTTCTTGTTTTCCTTTAGAAAATAAAACCAGTTGGAGTCATTTCAGTCACAGTTAATCAAATAGTTTAACCAGTATTTTTTCTTTTAGGTGGTAATGTATCTCTATACAAAGTTTCATTACTTACAGGGGCTTCATTTCTCTGCTCTTCTCAAACCAGAAAACAAGGTACATCAGTAATTAATGATCTGGGCTGATTATATAACGCATCCTCTTAATACGTATTTATTTTCCTTCTGTTTAGGCTGCTCAGCAGTTCTTATTGAAGAGTGTCCAAATATTTAAACCAGATAAGGAAAGATTTTTCTAATTAATAAGATTAAACCTGAAAAGAAAACATGAGTATTTAGTTTCTGATATGCTCCAAACAGCAAAGTGTTAGTACAGGGTAAAAGAACATGTGACGTTATGTGACTGCGATAGTAAGAAGATTGTTGTTAGGAGTGGAAATGCTATTGCTCTTGGTCTGTGATAGAGCTTAATAGAAATCATCTTATATTTTATAACAGGATACAGTCTTTGACTATCAACCTGGAGATGCCTTCTGCGTAATGTGTCCCAACAATGTCAGTGAGGTAGAAGAACTTCTTTGTATCTTGGGACTTTCTGAAAAAGGAGAGAACTTTGTTTGTGTAAAGGTTAAGCAGGACACTAAAAAGAAAGGTATGGTGTGATGCACTGGTCATGAACAAATATTCCTGTGTTAGTTGTAGTTGGTATGCATATGTCGTGGTTTAAGCCCAGCCGGTAACTCAGAACCACGCAGCCGCTCACTCACTCTCCATACTTCTGCCTCCCTGTGCTCACAGAGGGATGGGGAGGAGAATCGAAAGAATGTAACTCCCACGGGCTGAGATAACAGCACTCCAGTAACTAAGGTATAATGCAAACCACTACGGCTACCAATAATAATGATAAGAGAAATAACAAGGGGAAAGGATAAAATTGCTCACTCCCCGCCAACCGATACCCAGCCCGACCCGAGCAGCGATCTGGGCCTTCCGGGTAACTCCCCCCAGTTTATATACTGGGCATGACGTGCTGGGGTATGGAATACCCCTTTGGCCAGTTTGGGTCAGGTGTCCTGTCTCTGCTGCCTTCCAGCTTCCCCTCCTCCCTGACAGAGCATGAGACTGAGAAAGTCCTTGGTCAGAGGAAACATTACTTAGCAACAACTAAAAACATCGGTGTTATCAACGTTGTTCCCAGACTGAAAGTCAAAACCACAGCACTGCACCAGCTACTAAGAAGGAGAAAAGATGACTGCTGTAGCTGAACCCAGGACAGTATAGTTTTGAATAGTTTTATCTTTAATATTGGGACACAGTGGTCACTTCATGGAGGCATGTTGGAAGTCACAGATGTGTTAAAAAAGAGAGGATGCACTGACTTCCATCCACTGCAGTTATGAAGTTAAATGGTTTAGGATCAAACAGAAATTGATTTCTGTGCAGCTTTGCTGGTGAGCAGACTCATTAAGTTACTGTAACTTAGTTATTTGTTGCCATTCTGTACCAAGGAATGCAGCTCTCTAAGGTAAATTTGCAACTCTTAGCAGTGTTCCAGTGTTGCCTTCATTTTGAGATGGTTGTCTCGTAACTGCATTAAGATTTCTGAGGAATTTGTAATAGTTGCTACAAGTTACTATGGTTATGGGTCTACTGAATGTAAAGAACTGAAAAACCTGGGAGAAGAGTGTGAACAGCAAGGCTGTGCCTCTGCTGTACCTTCAAGATTTACCAGGAATTTCACTGAATTTTGTTCACAGCTTCTCTTTGTTCAGTCTGTGAATTCTTTGATGAAGTAGATGAGATGAGCTGAAAGGACAAAACAGAAATTATTTGCAGTCTGGTTGATTCATAGAACTCATTAGGAACTCGTCAACAAAGTTTTAAGTTGACAAGCAGGTATTCTTTATTGCAGCGCCAGAGAACATGGGGGATAGCTCCTCCTAGCGTGTTCTGCCTGAGCATCAACCAAACCGTGATTATATTGTCATTAGTCATACATATTCATTATGTTGTATACATATTCATGAAGTTGTTTATACATGACATCACATTCCTAGAACATTCTTCCCGCATGCACACTTTATTATGGTAGTAGTAGTGGACCTGGTGCTTGTTTCTTCATCATCTTCCTCTTCATCACCTTATCTTTTCCTTGAATTCTTGTTCCGGTGGTCTTTGAGGTCTGCACAGTAGATAAGCGCTTATGCCAGTTTAATTAGTTCAGTAACACTGCTGACATAAGTGAGTGATTTCTCTCCATCCTTCTACTTATCAATTAACTTAGCTACAGCACATCCTGAACATCTGCTAGTTTCAGACACTCTTTATCTACAGTCCTTAATTTGCTTACAGTAAATTTTATACAAAGATCATAAGGTTCTAAAACTATGTCAGCTACAATGATTTATCTTATGCAAGGATCCTTATTATGTTCTTTCGGTTGGGCTTTTTAGGTCTGGAAAGTTTTGTTCTTACGTACAAAACCACTAAGCTTAAAGTTACTTTAAACTGAATTTTCTTATTTACAAAGGATTATATTTCATTTTGTACTTCCTTGTCTGACTGGTACAAAGTCTATTGTTCAAATATTGGATTTGAATTTGAAGAGCATCCTAGGAAGAGGATTAAGTACTTCTTGTAACATGCTGTTTGCGTGTTCAAGAAAAGGAAGTTTATATAAATGTGAAAATGAATGATTCTTTTCTGCATTATATTTATGCCAGTCCTCTTATCTTCTGAAAGTAAATGTTGTTCTTTGTAGCAAGGGTTCAGTCAATTCATGGTATCATTCAATACTGATACAAAGAAGTAATTTAGCAACTTGTATAGGTATATTCTTGGAGCGAAAATTCTGTAGTATTAAAGGGCTCTTGAGTGTGTAAAAAACACAGTAAGAATCTGGATGTCAAATCTGAGAAACACTGTCAAGAAAAATGCGAGCATATGCATCTAGTCTTTAAGGAAACAATTTTGAACCTGTGGAGATTATTAATTAAAGGTGTTTTTTCACATAAATGTTCTTAGATTGATTTTGGGATTAACTTAGAATAGCTGCTTTAGCATGACATGACATGAGGCTTATAAGCCAGGCTGCACCCTAGCTGACTCCATGCAGGGATAGATGGGATGTCAGTGTACCTCCTTCCCACAAATGGAACCTGTACAGAGTACAGGATCGATTATTTCTTGTACAGAAACCCCTTTGATCTGCTGGATCTCAGAAGCTCCAGCATGGCACTGGCTGCATACATCTTTGGTTAGATGATTAGAAAACTTCAGCATGTTCCAATTTTAGGAGTGTTTATTGATGGAGGGGAAAAAACGTGGATGTTCATTTCCCTAGTAAGCCTTCCTCTGAATTTCCTCAAGGTGGAAAGTGGTAAGAAAACCTTGCGTGGTTTAGCAGTGAAATTTATTTGAACACTGATGTATTGTACTCCTCGTTTGGTTTTCTGCTTTCCCATAAAGTTTTGACTTTTCATTGGAAAATTATCATTGGTATTTCATTGGAAAACTGTCTTGCTGTTTAGTTTATAATTGTAACTAACTGTCTGGGACATAAACCTACATAATTGGATGCAGGTTAGCTCTCTTGTATTTCTTGAAGGAATGAGCACTCTGTGATGCCATTTTTGGATGTTAATAGATGCACATTTTGTTTTGTTTTTCTTCCACTGAACTAGGAGCAGCTCGTCCACAACACATCCCTGAAAGAAGCACTCTGAAATTCATTCTAACCTGGTGCTTGGAAATAAGAGCAATTCCCAAAAAGGTGTTTATGTGTTCGTTCTTTTAAAGATAAATCTTTAGTAATTCGATGCTGCATGGGCTTTTACAGATCTGTATTTGCTTCATGTGCAGTTACCAGATTTCTCGGTGAATACGGATTGTCAGTTTGTATGCTAGTGTTTGTACTTCATTCTGAGAAATTTCACTTCTGGTACTTTATCTGTCAAACTATGAGATACTGAAATCTCTGTTCCTGTTTTGCAGTATCTTGATTTATAACTAGTTTGGATGTAAACAGAAGAGTGTTAGATGTTTGGTGTCAGATAACTGAAAGGCTGACTGAGGCTCACCCCATAGGTATTTTAGAGAAATCATTCTTTCTAATCAGAGGGAGCTGTATCTATCAAGTTTTGTCGCTGAAAATGCACATTGCTTTATGCAAACATACCATAATGCCTTTTAAGTTATTTTAAAGCTCTTCTTCAGCATTTTGGTAGCCTGGCAGAATTTGTAGAAATATTTTTGCTTGTATAGTATTGGTTGTTGCAAGGTGTGACTATTATTTTCTTTTCATTCTGTGCCTACAAAAAAATGGAAGCTTGCAAGTGGAAATGTGTGCGTATTTCTGGTACTGTCAAAACACATTTTAAAGATAACTTTGGATGAAGGATAAAGCTAAACAATTTGTTGGTTTGGTCTCTGGGGGAAATCAGTTTTTGGAAGGATCTTTTCACTCAATTTAGTGGATTTTGCAGCAGAAGAGAATCTTCCAATTGTTTCAACCTTTTCAAAACTGCATTTAACAATTTGGAAAATTTGTCTCAACAATAAGAGTAGGCAGAGAGTGCTGGCTGGGGAGTATCACCAAGCTAGTTTTTATAACTGTCTGCTTTATTACCTGTTCAGTGTAGAATGTGCTTTATGTAACTCTGTACTCAAAACTATTGTCTAGAAGCTCAGTGTTTGAGTACACTGAAATTCCTTTCCAAGTATTCTTTTGTGTAGAATACGTTGTCTCATTGCATTTGGTGTTTTGGATCACTCTTCTTTTATGCACTGTGTTTATTTCCACCTTGCCTTTGGAAAAAAATCCCGTAACACTTTACATCTGATTTTTACTTTATCTTGCAATGCTCAGTTTAATTTTCCCTAAGAAAAGCTTGCAGTACCATTATGTAGGCATAAAGTATGGAATAAAACACCACAGCAATATTTACATGACTCATTAAATACCATACTTTATTTACAGTAATACCTTTTCTAAGACTTTTTTTATTCCTTTCGTGGCTTCTGTAACTTAGGAAATGGTATTTTGTCTTGAATTAATTTGTATTATGGAGATGTTTACTTAACTGAAGTGCAAATACATAAATAAGAGCCTTTCATAAATTTGGGTTTTTTCAGAGAATGGGTTGTGGATGTTTATTTGCCTTTTCCCTGCTCAGATTAATTAAGATTTTTCTGACCTGCTAGCTTGTAAATTTTTCATAGTAGGTGCATTGGGGAATAAATTGTGTTATCCACTAACCTTTCAGGTGACTGTTTCCTGTTCCCAGACATCCCAAGTTTTTCCCAGTTTGTGACTGTTTTCCCAAATGGAGAAGTATTTTTACCCTTTACTCTTCTTTTCTTCCCCCCCAGGCATTTTTGCGAGCTCTTGTAGAATGTACGAGTGATGCAGGAGAAAAACGGAGGCTTCAAGAGCTTTGCAGCAGACAAGGAGCCTCTGATTACACACGCTTTATTAGAGATGCTAATGTTTCTTTGCTGGATTTACTCCATGCTTTTCCAAGCTGCAAGCCTTCAGTTAACATGTTCATTGGTAAGTGACCAATTTAGATCTAATTAGATTTGGTTTCTGAAAATGCATCAGACTAAATGTCCAATTTCCCAAGAAAGTGGAATAACTGTTAACTGGTTTAGAAATATTATAGTATCCATAGTGATCAAACTAAACTATTGTTTGGGAGCAAAGCTCTGTTTTCCACTTTTTAGTCGTTGGCCTTCATTCTGCAAATGCTTGGGCTCATACGTACACTTCAATTGACTCTGGATTGCTCTCATACAGAAAAAATAAGCATAAGGTGTTTGCAGGACTAGGGTCTTTTAAGAAACAGATCATCAACTGCTTACAATTAAAAAAATTTTACAACTCCCCATTTCCCTGCCTACATGTTCTTTTGCACTTTTACCTGTTAAAACAGTAAACTTTTCCTAGTTTATTGGTATTTTTGTAACGTCCAACACACTCACTGTATTCCTTATATAAAACATTGAAGGAATGAGATTCCAAGTGTACCCATCTCAAATCATAGAATCATAGAATAGTTAGGG